TAAAAATAATCAAAAACTAGGTACTTTTTAAATTTTTTTTTTTTATATGTGTGTTTTGATATGTCTAAGTTTTTGATGCAATCACATTTGGTATAAATATACTTTACCGGACACCCTTTTTTTTTCAAAATAAGTGGTTTTTTATGCTGAATTCAAAATTGTTTGAAAAAATTTCCAGAAACTTACAGTTCAAAAGTTATGGCAATTCAAAGTTGCAGTCATTACGCGTGTATCGGATCTCGTCGCTACCCGCTCCTCGGCCCCGTCGCTCCGCTACACAAATCGAAAATATCCCCCTATTTGCTGTGTAAACTACCTCAGGTAAACCTTGGTTTTCCTCAATATTGTTTCCTTGTACATTTATTGCCAGCGTGATCAATCGCTCGTCCATTCAAAAGTATATTTTATAATTTATAATATCTAAAACTTTGAATTGCAATAACTTTTAAACGGTAAGTTAATAAACTGCGGCAACGCAGCCACATTTTCAGAGACTCTGTTGAATATTGAAAACAGAAGAATAGTTCTACATAATAGCAATCCATGATAAAAAATCGCCACTAGTAGTATAAAACAGCTTATGAATTAATTTCAAAAGTCTACCCAGGAATATAAGACATTTCAAAGAAAACTAGCCAATGGCTGGAAGAACATGTGATTCTATCTCCAAAAGTGGTTTGTAAAATCGAGGAATAAGTTCTCGACATTTTAACAGACTATATATAATTGTAGAGACTTTCGGATTCTCGAGGTATGAGCTGTAACTGAGAATACCTACCCGTAACGATGGATGGTTTCAACTTCTTTTCGACGTGGTCCCCCGTCGTCGGCCGAAGTTCTTTTGCGTTTGCCGTCCATGTCCCTGGAAACTTTTTATAGTTTACGAGAGTGATAATCAAAAATTAAATTATTATATTAAATTGTTGTATAAAATTGTTACATTACATTTATTAAACTAAAATAAATACACACGATTCATATTTAAACAGACAATATTGTTATTAAAAAATAACAACTGTTAGCGCAATGGTAACACGACTATCAAAATTTTAATTTTCAGCCAACAAATAAACAACTAGTGGTATGATTATATTAATATTATTATATTATTTTTACAATTATTTTTCATTAGGAAAACCGGAAGACGAATATATCGTTACCCATTTTAACTGTATATACGAAAATCTTATAAGGATTTGATAGATAGATATAGAAATATCGCATTATACCTATATATTCCGAGCATAATAATATAACGCGTATAGTTGTTATATGAATTAAAAAATGGAAAATGAAGATACCGTAGATTGGGGTGACTTTGATAAATTTTGTTGATTTTGTTTGTTATTTTAAGCATACTTTTTTTAATACTTATGCTACAGATCTCAAAATAATCCCGTTGCATCAAGTACTACTTTACCAACATTCTCGATTTTTTTTTTTTTTTTTTCCCACCGACAGTTTTTTTTAAATAATTTTTTTAAAGTAGCTATCAAAGTCAGACGGAATTCGGGGCGACTTTGATACCCCCATTTTTTTTTATTTTAAACTAATGGTAATGGTATGAAAGTTATAAATCTCAAACCATTTTAAATTTGATCAAATAGTTTTTGAGTTATACCATAAAATGTATTATGGGGTGACATTGATATCATTATATCAATAGGTACTTTATTTGTATAAATAAAAAAAACATAAAACATAATTTAGGTGGATAATAATTTATTAAGTTGACTAACTAAGTCTTGTGAAACAGTAAAAACATAATAATAGTTTCAAAATTAAAAACAAAACAAAACAAAACAAAATATTAAAATAGAAATACATAAATATATTTATAATGACCAGCTAGGTACTTTGACTTACTAGCCTCTTGGCTGTCTTCAGTTAACATTACCCTGTCTGAACATACAGTTTAAAATAAAATTCTTAAATAATAAAACAAAACAAAGATAAATAGATATAAATATTAGTCTTAACAAGTAGGTAAAACGGTTTAAACATAATAATTTCAAAGTTAAAAATAAAACAAAATATAATATAATTAAATTGACCTAGCTAGGAATTTACTAGGCAGTCTTAAGTTTACAACAATTCAGTCATAATTTGCAGTCTTACTGAGTTACTTTGCCTCTCTGACATCAGATAGTGGCTGTGAAAATATATAATTAGTATTTAGCAATTAGTAATTAGTATTTGTAGTAGGGGAGACTTCGGCACGACATCGAGAAATGTTTGTTGTAATTCTTTGAGTCAGTGAATTGTGTCTTTTTAACAAACTTCTTGCCCAATCATCACCTGGGAGGTTATCATGAAATTGTTTAACTACTATTCCTCTTTTGTCTAATGATGATTTTGCAATTATTCTATAACAAGACAATTATAATTAATTATAACACAAACTATTGTAAGATAGTAACATTTTGTATGTTTACCTTAAATCCATTAGAGTTAAAGGGAATCCCCAATCACCACACTTTGATACAGCAGCTATCATATTCTTTTCATCCTCATCACTAAATATTGACTGTCCTCCAGGTTTTTTGCCATGTTTCCCAGTAAAACGGTTGTGTAATGTTCCATACGGAATTTTATATATTTTACTAGCCTTTAAAATTGAAAGTTCACCATCAACAACTTTTTTAAGTGCTTCTTCCAAAACCGCATCTGTTATATTCGCATATGGGCGACTGCCAACTTTTTTTTTGTACACACGAACCACTAAAATAATTAAAATACATGTAATAAATACATAAATAAGATTATCAAAGTCACCCCAACACTACTATCAATTTCGCCCCTCGATAAGAAACGCTATATTGCTTACAACATAATGAACGAAAATAACATAACACAGTATGATTTGAATCATGATGATATGTATATAAAATATAACTTATAAAATTATTAATAAATAACATTTTTACTTACTTTGCGCAGCTAATTCTAAAACGTTGTTATTTTACATTTAAAATAACGTTGAGATTGAAGATAACACGCGTTTCAAATAATTGATAATAAATCAAATCATAACCGTTATCGTTATAAGACCATATTTCTTTATCAATATATACAAAAATAATCAAATTTTTCCGTGCAGTGTAGCCATAGTGTACAATTTAATGAAATAAAACAACATTATCAAAGTCACCCGTCATTATCAATGTCACCCCAATTTACGGTATGCCTAAACAGTTCAAAATAAATGAAAACATTTTGAAAATGTTATCGTGTATAGAAAATGCTAATATAAACATTCAGTCAACATTTCATGTACCTACGTTTATTTTTTGTTTAAGAGTTGCACCAAAAACCAAAATCGATTTTTTCGAAAACAGATTTTAGTGTAAAAATTCCCGTTTTTCCTTAATTTTTATTTTATTTTCCACGCTGCTTTTGAAAACTACTGGGAAATTTTCACTTTTGAATCCCCAAAGTACCAACTACATTCACTTTTCTATCAGAAAAGCTACTGTTGAAGAAAATCCAAGCACTTTTACTGTCCTAAAACGTGATGACACACAAAAAAAAAAAAACACACATCATTGTAAAATCAATACATTTATCGTTTCACTCAGAATCTAAAAATTGAAAAACGAGCTTGGGCCGTAAACTAGATTTATACCTTAAATTTTTTAATATATTAATATATCCAAACCACCTATATCTAACATCGAATTATTATTATTATCAAATCAATATATAATCTCATTATTTTATATTTATACGATGTACCTATTTGTTGTTATATGGATGGCAGGGCTATAACAAACCAGTAGGTACCAAAAAACGTGCTAAAATATTATCTTTAATAATCTTGAGATGCTATTAGTTACTAATTAATAAACCGGAAGTTAGGTGACCTGAAGTATGTTTTTTTTTTTAATAATTTACTGTTTTAAATTTATTTTAATGATTCTAAACATACTTTAATTTAATTTTAATTTTATGAACCTGTAGCAAAGAGGGTGAATTTATTGTTGTGAAATGTTACCAACTCAATTTTCAAGTGTACGAGGTACTTATGATTAGATATCTATATTTAAAACTAACTGGTAATTCAAAACTAGGTAAGTACTTATGCGTATTTACTCTTTTGCAAATCGCAATGAATAGCATAAGCATATTAAAAGTTTTATGTTAAAGTTCGAGGTTTAACCGTAATTTTTGTGTTCAAGATTTTGTCATTCGAGGTTTTGACGGAAACCTTTTTGGAGTTCAAAATGTTGGCATTCAAATTGTTGACTTTCAAGGTTTTTGATATTCAAAATATTGACGTCATTTTAAATTCAACACTTGTCACTTTATCGATCAATATATTGACTATATACCATATAAAGGGAGTATCATCCCATTTTTTACTTAAAAAATAAATGAACATAATCATGAGCGAAGTGTTGTAACTAGCAAGTACTAAGAAGTAAGTTCAAGTAACCATAGTCCATAGACCTATAACTATAGTTAATACTTAATAGCATGACAAAATAGATATCTGATATACTATTATACTATATAGTCGTTATTATATAGTAGTTGATGATACGGTAATACGACGTATCTCGATTTTGGTTATTTATGGTTAATATAGCATCATGAGTCATGACAAATAAGAAATTATTAAATTAAATTTGTCATTGTAATTTAAAAGGCTATGCCACTATGCTTTTAACAATTCCATCAGTTTGCAACGTCTTTGATTTTGTTGATCATATGTTTTCCGAGACATCCCATCACCGCGACACCGATAACCTATTACCTATTGTGGTTATTCAACTTGGCCAAATAATAATTTCTACAAAAACAAATCGTTGCCTACTTGCCGTATTAACTTTTATTTCTCAAATCACAATTTTATATTTGCTGTTACTAGACCATATCTCATAAAATTAATTTTAAAGAATTATAAACGATTGATATTTTATATTAATCATCATAGAGGTGTGAACTGCGTTGTGGTATTAAAACTTAATTTCAAACCTTCTGAATAAAATATTATCATCATGAGCGACTGGAATACAGTGACAATATTGAGAAAAAGGCCACCAAAGCCTTCTACCATGAAATCTGAACAGGTTCATTATTTAATTTTTGTCAATGTGTATTTTGTAAATGTATAATTTGTTTTGGAAACTGTTTTAGGCCATCAACAAAGCTAGACGAGAGGGTGCAGTAATTGATACTCAAGTCAAATGTAAGTGTATACTAAAATTTGGAGTACCTGTATCCAGGCGCATACACAAAAAAAAATTCCGGGGGGTTCATAATCTATATATATATATAAATGAAGTACACAACTATGTATTAATTTTCTGGAGGGGGGTTGACCCCCCTGTATACGCGCCTGCCTGTATCATAAGTTAATTATTATTTCTTGAAATCTTAAATATACATAATCTGACAGTTGTTTAGTAATGGATATCTGAAATTTATAAATTTAATAATTAAATAAATATGGATTCAGGTACTTTATTTTATATTTTTTGGTTATTTGATGACAGTGTAGGAAGTGGCTTAAAACATTAGAAACTATTGTTTATGTTTAATACTCAATCTAATACACCTATATTGTTGATTATTATAATGGTTCAATTAGATCTGTTTTGAATGGTCCACTGTTCCAACCGTATCTATCACTATTACTGAATTAAATAGAACTTTTTGGAATACCTATCCAATTTACATATTAGTAGTATTTTTAACTTATGTTGAAAATCAAATATAGTAGAAACCATTTTATGACTTCTAGGCACCAGGAAAATTTTAACATATGTTATAATAACAAAAATTAAATAATTTATTATAATAACTTATATTATACGCACATTTTATTGCATGAAAAAAGCCGTGTCTCATCTGTATTATAATATCCTTTTCGTAATTTTAACCATACATTTTCAAGCCAATTTTGTATTATTTCAGTATTGATTGATTTTTATATTAACTATGTCTTGATCCTAAGCAATTGAATCCAACCAGACGAACAATTAAAATTCTGCTTATCAATAAAGACCCTCAGATAATTCATTGGCTTTTTGCTGGAGAATTGGTCCATTTATTGGGATATTCAATGATGCAGTTGAATTTTGTTTTGTGGTCATTATAAATAAAATATATAAAATATTTTTCTAAATCTACAAAAAAAAATGACAGCTGTACAGTTATAAAAATTGTCGTAATAACCAATATAAAATTATATTTATAACAAGAATTTGGCCAGGACCTTCAATTTATAGATCATTAAACCAGGTTTGTCATTACAATTGAAGTCATAAACTATTTCCACTGTACTTAATTCAAATATCTAATTATTAAACCAGAATTTTTTAAGGGATTCATTTACCGCATTACTTGCTATATAATATATATTAAGCAATTTAATTTAATTATTATTATTACAACACAAATTTAATCTAAATATCAATCCAAATAAATGTTTTTTCTTTTTTAATAGTTATTGACAACTATCATCATTTTGCATACAATTTACATAATTAATTTTTTTTTATTTGTTATTTATTAGGGGGTGCAGCTACTAATAAACATCAAGTTACAACAAAAAATACTGCAAAATTGGATCGGGAAACTGAGGAATTGAAACATGAAAAAGTGCCAATTGATTTAGGCCGTCTTATACAACAAGGGCGACAAGCTAAAGGTTATAATCAAAAAGAACTGGCTACTGTAAGTTACATATATATTTAAATTTATTGTTTGATACTCAAATTGTTTTAATAATTTAAGAAAGTTAATGAGAAACCACAAATAATTCAAGATTATGAAGCTGGACGTGGAATACCTAATCAATTAGTTATTGGAAAAATTGAAAAAGTGCTTTGTAAGTATTTTAAATGCATAGCATAAATAATATAGCAATAACTAATAACATAATATTTATATTTAGTTTATACTAAATGCAACACTTTTATTGATTATAATTATAAAATAACTTGTCCTGACTGACTTATTCAACATTGCCTAGCCGTAACCGCTCTAGTTATGAGTATGAAATTTGGTCAATAGTTTTGTTACATGATATTTTTTGATTTATAAACGGTTGCCTTTGGTTAATTGATCATGCATCAAACATGGCGTTTACATGGCCTCTTGTAAAGAAAATAATATATCTTAACAGTTATAACCAAATGTATGTTTGTAGCTTATACACGTCTTAAAAACTACTCAATTGATTTTGATTCAAATCTCAGAGATGGTCTTAACACGGTTTGACATGAATAAATGGGCGCCCATGGCCGGTGTCAACCTGTGGTTGACATAGAGTAATCTATTTTATATTGGGTCTTTTTGGTGGCTATAGTTGAACACATTTGAAATTTCTATCGGACATTCATTACCGTATTGACAATTCCGTAAAATCTACTAATTTTACAATTGGCGACGGTCACCCTCAGGTCAAATCACTTCGGCCACTGGCGTACGCTTGCCAAAATGTAGTTGGCGTATAACGTGTTAATAGATATAAGAGAAGTTTAGAGATTAAGAGTTTAAACAAAGTTCAAAAATATACCAAGTTCTAAATCCAATCCTCGATTTGCAATTATTATTTCACAAAATTATAGGTACACTAAGGACCGATTTGTTCATGAGTTGAGGTACACTCAAACCGAGAAACACCTATATACCATATACACTAAACAGGATTTGCCACAATCACAGATTAACCGTGGTTATACAATATTAGCTTATAATAAATTAAATATATCGTTTATAAATTTTTTTTTAATTCTATTACGTGTTTTAAGAAATTTAAACAAGAACTAGTAGAATGTAAGAAAATATACTCATGACAGGAATTACTATCACAAACTGCTGAGAGTAAATTTATGAATTTGATTGATGAATTAATGAAATGGTTATCAAATTTAAAATTACAAGATTTCTCCACAATTAAAGAAATATTAATTGAATACAAAAATAGAACTAGTGTCAAATTAAACGTTTGTTAACATTATTTTTTATTAATAATTATAATTTGAGTTTTCTTTTTGACACTTATGACTATATACTATATTATCCTAGTAATATACGGAGTATCTATGTTCATAGTAACTATTAATGAGCTCTTTAGTGTTTTGAACACTGACACTTTATAAAAAGTAGTTTAAATTTGAACTAATCTATAAATTAGTAGAACTCTAAATTATATGCTTGTCTATATGATGTATAAATGTATAATAATGAATCAGAAAAAGTACTATAAGATAAAGCAAAAGTAGATCATTACATTTTCAAGTGTATGTTAAAGGTTTAATCATTGAAAATTGGGATTTTAGTTTTTTACCTTATTTAATATGGAAAATATTTTTAAAAAAACAGAATAGTCATGAAGCATGACATATTAGGATATTATTTATCAAAATATTTGAATTAGGTTTTTTGTTGTGTAGTTTTAAAATACATTTTTTTATGCATTTAATTTTAATAAATTATAATTTATTGTTTCAGGTATAAAATTAAGAGGAAAAGATCGTGGCCAAGCGCTTCTGCCCCCTAGCACCAAGAAGTGACTGGCTTGGGGGAGTATTAACTCAAGTGTCACTAATTTCACATTAAATACTATTAATTATGCTTTAAATAAAAAAAAATGTTGTGACAAAAAAATTACCTTCTATTTTAATTTATTTTACATTTTTATTAAGTTTAAGCTGGTAATACAAATATGGTGTAATATTTATTTACATATTCATTTTTTTTTGTAATAAACATTTTTCATATTATAGCATATTTTTAGGTTTGTGTGTATCTTGTACTTTGATATTCTGTTTAAAAGCACAATTTTAAAATAAAAAGAATTAAACTATATAAGTATTACTGTATTAGTACAATATTTTTAACTTGTGTGTATCCAATACAAATTACTCAAAGTATAAAATATTGTCATGTCAATAGTGCCGACTACCTCGAAAAATAAATATAAATTTATACTATATTTGATGTAAGAAGTGACCTAGGCAACCGACTACTAGCATAGTGGCATGTGTATGTCATGGCTTACTATGTGGGGATAGTTGTTGCATGACCAAAACTGGTTGCCACCTGGGTACTTCTTATTTTAAAGAGTAAATTATACACAATCTGTTCACTGTAATGAGGTATTTTATTAATTATTAACTTTGATGATTTACCATACAAATATAATGTCGATTCCCAGGACATATTGCTCATCGTAGTTTGGCTCATGTACTTATTGTTGGATTAAAAATCTCAGTACAGTTTGCCGGTTAGGCCTTATTAACAGTTATTAGCTAATCAGTACATGTGTACAGTACTAAGGGCACTGTTAACCTTAGGAATGTCAGATAGTTGGTTTGATAATTGGTATATAATATACATTTTACATAGAAGGGTAAAGACACCACAGAAAAATAACATCCTTTTTAAATTTTGAACTGTTTATAGAACTGACAATTTTATAAAAAGTAGGATCTAGGAAACATTAAGCAATGGTATAAACAATTAAAGTAACAATGCAATTATAATTATTCTAACTTCTAGTTTTACATTGTTAGAGTTTTACAAGCAATTCTAGTAACAATGGAATCAAGTAGACTGGAGTTTCCACTTTCTATTTGACTTATTCTGTAATAAGATTTTATAAAATTTTCATCAATATTTTCTGCAATTTCTGATATATTTGTTTCACATCCTGTAATACATTTTTCTTGAAATATTTTCATTTCAGGAACATTGGAGTACTTTGATATAATTACAACTATCATGTCATCATCCTGGTCATTAGCGCTTGTATCTTTCAACGACTGTGTGATATTTTTGGAACTTGATAAATTGAACAAAATTTCGCTAGCAAGGGACTTAGTTTTCATACAGGAGTTTTCACTGGACAAGTAAGCATTATTCACAGCAACTACAATCTGAAATGGATCGACAATCAATCTGCGGCTAATTAACACTGGCGATTTATCTTTGAAAATAGAACTTATGTTGTCTTTTAGCCATTTTATATTTTTGATATTTGTAAAATAGGATATACCTAAATATTTTCCGTTTTGCAGACAGTAAGCTTTCATTGTTTTGAATGATTTTTATTACCTTTACTAAAATGTAGTGTCAGTAGTTAGTATTGCCTGGAAATCGGAATTATAAGTAAAACTTGTTTGGTGTGGTCGCTACAGGTTACAGCCAACTTCACAGTTTCACATTTAAATTTCACAATCGAGAGTCGAGAGTCGAGAGTCTCGAGTACTTGTCACTCGACTGTCAAATTACTTATCAGTCAAATCTCGAAGCTCGAATACTCTTTATTCCATGACAAAATAAATTACGTAAACCATAGATATCAATCTATGGTACAAGCACAGAAGTATATTTTATAATAATTATGCTTAAATACCGGGTAAATGGACATTTCCCCCGATTGTTTTCGGTGTAGTAGAACATTTACCCTCCCCACGATATATTTTTGACATTTTCCCTCCATTTTTTTTCTAAGTGTTATTAACTAATAATAATATTGAATTTAATAATAGAATATTATTTTTTTTTTAAATAAAATATAAAATATATTAAAATTTTTTTATTTTCATAAATATAATAGATTATAAAGTTACATGTTTGATCCACTAAACTAAAACAATACAATTAAAAAAAAAATACGTATATAAATATATAATTAATATAATTAATAATGGCTAAAAATTCCGGCATAAAAAAGATACATTTTGTAAAAAACATTTGATTACTGATTCTTGTGTTATTTCTACAAACACATATTATTATTTTTTTGTTAAAACTGTACCAATTTGGATATTAAACAATTTAATAATTGCTTTTGAATTTGATTCAAGTAGTTCAGTTGATCAAAAATATACGTCTATAATTTATTATATTTATGAAAATATTTGGAAATATTAGACAATAGGCAAAATAATAATTTCATATTAAATCTATATAATAAAATTAAGTGGCGGGATAATCGTGACCATTTTTCTCAAGAGAAATTAGACCGATTCAATTTATTTTTTTTTCAATACATTCTTTTCGTCGAGAAGAAGAACGTATCGCCAATTATATTCGTGTCAGGACGCCACCGGTAGGGGTTCAAACGGGGATTATGAGATTTGCGTTGGAAATTTGCCATTTATTGAACGGTTGCCCTGGGTTATTACATTGTTTTATAGGAACTATTTATTATTATTAATTGTTGGCTGAAAACATATTATTATAGATCTGTTCTTATATATACTAATGTTTATGTTATCTTTAAGTATATAGATTATTATTATGGGAAAAAGAAAAATTATTGGAAAATCTTCATATTCTTCTATAAAAAACAAAAAGCACAAGAAAAAAAACGACAGAGAAGTAGATGAATCTCAAGAAAATGTTGAAGAAGGTATCACTTATGTTTACAGTAGTGAACGAACCAGACAAAGAAAATCAAAGTTAGCACAATTTTAACAATAAAATATACCGGGTGATTCCTTTCTCATGAAACACTCATTATTTCACCTTGTAAAACAATTATCAAATCAAAATTTTCCAAAAAAAAAAAAAATTAATCACTTACAGATATAAACGCTGTTATTGATGCTGTGGGTGAAGTAGATAATGTATTTTCTAAAAATGGCCAAATATACGATAAAAAAGAAATAGTCCTAATCGATGATAGGAATGAAAAGGTATTTATTTTTTTTGATTCACTATTTAATAATTTTTAATTTTTAATATATCTACAGATAACTTTAACATTATGGAATGAATTTGCGACTAATTTCATGGGTAAACTAAATACCAAAATAACCTTACGGAATACCAAAATTAGTGACTACATAAATCAAAGATATTTAACATTGAATAGACAATTAATAGTTTCCTTTTCCTAAGACGTAGACAAAACAACTAACATAGAGTAAGAAGCAAAATATTATGTATTACAAGATCGTAAAAATAAATAATAAATGATTTTGTTTCTACACAAATGTAAACGATTTATTTTCCAGATTTGAAGGATGGTTTAATAGAAAATATAATAAAGGATGTTTATTTGATGATGTGAATGAACATGATATGCCATAACATGATATTACACTTCTGGAAAAAAAAAATATTTAATAAATAACTTTTCAATTTTCTATTGTTATCCCATTGTTATTTTCTAATATTAATTATTAATTATTGTCCATCCTAATATCATATTTATCCTATTATACCCATATTATATATTTATCTAGGTTAATAGTTAATTATTTAAAACTGACTTCTAGAGAAAAAATTCCCCGGCGAAGCCGGGTAACACCTGCTAGTAATATAATAATATTATTAAAGGTAAACTTAAAAAAAAATGGGGGGGGGGAAATGTCAGCATAAAAAATATATCGGGGGGGAAATGTCCTACTACACCAAAAACAGTTCTGGAGAAAATGTCCGCACTCCAAGATTCAAACATTTCAAACACAGATAGTATTTTACATGACAAAATATTATATTCAATTTGTCATGGTATTTTACACGAATAGACATATGACATGGAAGTATAATAGAACAAATAGTTTATCCACGGACGACAGATTAAGATGTTTATCATTTACTACGTTTATATGGTGGAGATAAAACGTTTTGAAATGAAATCGTTTTGAATTCAAAACGGTTTTGGATCATGTAAACGGTTTAAAATCGTTTTGAAATCATTAAACCGTTTTGAAAGATAAAAAGTTGGTACTAGGTGGCTTAAGATTATAAGGCGTTTTAGTTTTTCAAAACTATTTTGAATTGGTCATGAATACGGGGATTATCCCGAAGTTGTATTAATTAATTTAGAAATAGCTTATAGAATAATTTTTTATAGGTACTAAACAAATAATTTTAACATTCCACTGATTTCTATACAACTACTTGAGTAGTCTACTTCTGTGCAATGCCTGTATAGAACTCTGTGGGTTTTGTGGATTTTGGCGATTTTGGATCCCTGTGGCGCTTTGTGCAGTGGTGCGCCCAAATATCTGTCCCCAAGGCGTAGACTTTAGAGACCATAGATCTATGGTCCCCAGGTGGTGCGCCTTTGCCCCTGCCCAGTTGTAGCACACTATATTATATTATTATCTATTCTGTATTTTTGTCATGAATTGATTTTTCATACTGTATGTACTAGTTACTAGTAAACCTCTTAGAGTTATTTTACTCTATGCTATAACTATTACTGTGGAGCACGGTTTAAGATATGTAATATATCCCAAGTAATATGTCCTAGATCTAATATAATATAGTTTTGGCTGCATTGCGGACATTACTATCTAGTATTTAGCACTTTAGGCCCAAGTAGTGCATAATATAGTTGGTTATTTCACTTGTAGGCAAGGTACATACAAATTACTGTAGAAGGACTAATACTATTACATTTATACGTACCTGAGTACCGGATGGCAGACCCTACAATGTTGGTGGGTCGTGGGGAGGTTGACCAGTGACCACTGACCACGAAATGCTTATGGTTGGGCGGTGTACGGGGGGTATTTGTCCTTCTAGCAATACTAGCGCTCCCTTGGTGGATACTTATGGAACTAGATTTGTGATTTTTTTTTATCTAGTTCCATAAATATCCACTAAGACAGCGCTAGTATTGCACTATTGTTCTATGCTATGCTAGACCTAGACGCCAGAAGGACAAATGCACCGCTTACTCCGTGCAACCAATAACATTCGTATTTCGTAACCATATTAATTATCTCGTGTCCAGCCCGGCCTGTATATCTTGTGCTTGTAGCATATTATTATCACTTGCTAGTTGCTAATCGCTATCAAATATAAATTTTTGGCAATTCAGGCAATTCAGCATTGGGCATTTGTGCACATATTTTATTTTTTTATCTATGATTCAGATTTCTGAGTTCAAATCGAATCGTTTGCGAAGACCTTTGAAAATTCAAAATAGACATGATGCGAATTCTGACGTAGTGACTTGATCCGTGATTCCGAAAATAAGGACTGCAATGCTGACATGCTGTTTTTGATTTATTACAGTGACGCCGACATGCCGCACACGCGACGCGCCGTAAAATATTGGTAATCGACCGACCATGTTCGTTTTTGGGTCATAACCAATAATAATAAAGTGACTCCTCGTCGATGAGGTTAATTGGTATATAATAATATATATTTTAGAAGCTAACAGTTTACACTACAAAGAACGTTTATTTCTGTAATGGTTTTTTAATTTCTGTTTGCTATAGTTTCAGCCAACCGTTGGTAGTCCAACGTTGAGACAACAACTCACATTCACAACAGTCGGTTTACGGTTTGAATTGTTATTGGACCTTCTGTATAATCAGATTACAGAATAGGTTATTCTGTGATCAGACATTGGTTTGGAACACAACATCACAACCTGCCCTGTGGATGGCCGTAAACCGTACTAACACTCACTACTGAAACTTCCAAAACTTCAGTCCACTGATCACTTCACTGTCCTGAATCCAGGCTTCAGTTTCCTTAAAACCGTATTTAGTCAACTCACATTGCCTCAAGGGTTTTGATGTTTGAGTATGTGAAACCGACACAAGGATGTGTGTGATCCATTGAGTTTCTGGTGCGCAGCTAGATAACCTATTACGGTTTTGCTCTTCGCGTGTTCACAATCAACTTATCACCCACTACCGTGTAAGAAAATAGTAAGTTGACCTTAATATCATTAGTCATAACTAGGGCCCGGAATTATATGCACTAAAAATGTACGAAATATGCATGCATTTATTATTCACTGATTATCATTCAAATATGCACTTAACATGCAAAAATATGGAAACTAAAATGCATTTTAGTTAATAATCAAATTAAGAGTAGTGGAAGTACATGTACCTAGTTGTAATAGTTGTATTATATTCAGTTGTGTATTGGTACGGGTATGCGGGTATACGCCGTATACCCATCAGAAGATTTTCGATTTTCGGCGTATACCCAATGTAAAATCTTATTTTATGGGTATACGTTTCCAAAATAACCAGAAAACCAAATAAGATTTAAAATGTATTTAATAGTTCATATAGGAAAAAAAAGTTATTCGTTATTATGTATT